AAGATGATGGCCAGCGCGTAATCGATTTAATTTTTATTATGAGGGATCTGTATAAGGCAAGGTCGTTGAACCATATTATTTTTTTTTTCGGTATGACGGGAACGATAGATTTCAATATAGAGGTTTGACTCGTGGGTAACTTATTCAAATAGGTAGACCAGAGTGAGAAGACATGGCGTCGAAGGATGAGGTATCTATCTAATTTTATATATAAGATAACGATGACACATTATTATATAATGAATGGCGAACGACTTCATTGATAAAATTATAGTCGGCTGTCTAGTTAGATTATATATCTGTGGTTTGATCTTATACAAGAACCATTATCAATCATAAAATACGCAAAAATCTCAGAATTTATAAAATTGACAAAGATTTGATATAAATTACTCCTATTCCAATAAATTGCAATCCTATTATAAAAACCTTAAGGTACTGCAGATTATATTTTTGAAAAGGGTTTTCAGTCAAAATAGCCCGAATGAGTTGTTGAGTTTGATTACAAGACAAATCTTATATTTGGCAAAATAATCAGTACTGCACCCGAAGGGGCTTTAGGGCTTCCGTTTCTCCAAAATATCCGGCTTATGTTTCTCGACTACTAGCTGTTGCTCCCGTGATGATTTTCTATAGAATTTAATTCTTAATATAAACTGAAGTAGTGACGTGATTACTATGGCAACCGAATCTTGTATATTACGAATTTTTATTTTAATGGGAAAGCTTTCGTGAAACATTTCATAAGTTGTTTTTTTACATTTTATATTTGGACGTTAAAACGAGTTAAGAGGCAGTATAATTTATTAATTTTGTTATTTGGGTTAGTAATAGATAAGTGATTAAATAAACAGTTTTTTTGTTTCTCATTCATGTGATTTTTCGAATTTATGTATTTACGTAATTTATTTGTTTAATTAGTCAACGTGATAATATGTTTATTAAATATATTAATTTTTTAAAATTTTTAAATAACAATAAACACATTTTAAATTTTATTCCGATGGTTAAAGACAATATATATTTTGTAAATATTTATATATTTTTAATAATTAATTTAAAATTCAAACTATTTTAATAGTTTTTCTAAAAACTCTAAAAAAAAAAATTTAAAAAATAAATAAATATTAGTTAAACATTTTGTTCGTGTAAGTTCTACATTACTATACGATAATTAATTTTCTAGTTAGTTATTGGTTTTATAAAATATGAATTCGCCATTTGGTAACTTATTTAGAAACATGAATGGCAGTAATGAGAAATTTCGATGGAATGCAGTGTCTTATGAGTAGAACGCGGATTTTTATTCACTAAAAAATATCAAAATATGCTATATAATATACGGTCAAATTCGTACAAATATGCAATAAATATGCAAACACGCGGAAAGTATGTAACAAATGTGTATAGGTACACCACAAACTGGTATGTTTAAATGTTGTAAAAAAAAGTATTATTACAATATTTATAGAAATATTAATATTGGTACTTATATTTAAATATTATAAAAAGGGTATTATAAATTAATATATTTTTCTTACATTTTATTTTTTTATTAATTAATAAGCATAAGAATTACGAATTTTTCTTCAATGAATCAGTGACGTTCATCTATCAAAATATTTTTAATATTAAAAACAACTGATTTCCACCGAAGTAATAAAGGCATATTAAACAACTAAATATTGTTGAGTCCTAATAAATATCAAGTGAAACGTTTTTGCCTAATATTACTGCAATCATTTGTCATAGACTATCATTTTTATTGGAAAGATCATGTAATTTTGTTTGAAGTTTTGTGTCTTTGATCCAGGAATAGCTTGAATTTTTTTTCTTTTATTTCATAAATTATTGAAATGCTTTCATGTAATGTCATATTTTTAGTTTCTAGTTTCTTTATTGCTGTAACTGAAAATTGCTATATCTGAGTAAATATAAATGTTAATTCATTAATGACAGTACCATTTTTATTATATCTAGAACTAATTTATCATTTTGTGCATCATCCTTTACCAGTCGCTCAATAATTTTTTTTATATTTACTAAAATTATCAGCATAATATAACGATGTAAAAATCTATATCCTCCACCTAGTAAAAAATGGAACACGTGTTAAAGACATATTATTAATTTCTTCTTTAAAAATAGACTTGGCGCTTTTCAGAATATTTTCTTCTCATTATTAATTAAAGTATTGACTTTTGGAATTAACTCCCTTACCTTTTCAGTCAGACGATTACATCAAAGCATTAAGTATATCAAACATGAGCGATGCGCGTTACATGAATCATGTTAGTATAAAATATCTTTATCGACTTCTCTGCTTTTATCATATAAAACACTACGTTTGTTAATAAAAGTAGTACATGCCATTCCATTTCTACATCCGTCCATACTATTTTAATTCGTTTCATTGTTTGTTTCTTTCAATTGTTTGGATACTAAGAAATAAGGTTTCCTAGAAAAGTCTTTATTCATAACTTCTACAAGTAAATTTGCATAAGCTCCGTGTATCGGTGGTCTCATCAACGATAATATAAATTAAATGTTGTGCAATTTTTTCTGTAATTTCATTCATTGCCTTTTACAAGCATATATTTAAATAGTTCTTTCGAAATGTGTTTTCATCTAGTATTTTATGATTTATGTATTTATTAAAAAAATTACAAAACTGTTGGTTTTTCAACTTTCGTAAGGGTATTAAAAGATACCAAAACAAAACATAAATCTTCAAAAATAATGTTATTGGTAGAACTTAAACTCTAACTAGTTATAAACAAATGTTGTTTGCTAACTTATTTTGAAGTGCAGATACATGGACAACTAAAATAGCAAAAAACAATAAAACCAACATTAATTAATATTAAATAAATTACAATTATATAAAAATAAGTACTATTTTTCTATCAGTAATGAAAACCTCAATGTTTTTGTTTACTGAGGAAATCCATTCTCAAATCTTCATAAAATCGAGATACGTAATTTTTATGATTCGTAAACATTGCTAATAAAAATCTAAAAATGTGCCAAAGAAAAAGAATATGCGGAATTACATAAAAATCCAACCTCTACTTATGAGTTATCAAGATATAGTTCATTGAATGACTGGTTTTTATTATTTGTAAGTATACGTAGACGAATGGTACGGACTACTGCTGTAATAAAAACGTGATTTGATGATGAAACTCTCAAAATAGTTATAAAATCAATGCTACTGTCATAAAATCTCAATTGAAAATAGCGTTTATGTATTTTATTATACACAATTACCTATGTAAAAGAATTGTAATACGAATTAAATTAAAGCAAAAAATACTATTGATACGGATATTATTAATAATTATGATTTTTAGCGGTTTTTATCTGTTATTAAAAACTGTATACTAGAAATTTTAAAGATTACAAACATAATAAATATAATCATATATATATATATAATCATATAATTACGTACAATTATTTACAGTTTTTGTAAAGATATTTTTCAAAAAAATAAAATAAAATAAACACTATAAATATATAGAAAAAAATATATAACGAACAGCACCCTCTCCTGCCATACAATTAAAATCATAATAAACAAAAACATACATGAACATATTTTAGAACATGGTGACCACTGGAAAATCAATAACAAATTTACCACGTTTTAAAATACGAGTGAAACCAACTGAATATACATATATAACGACTATCTACGTGCTTACATTTTTTAATTAAGCTAACAATATTTTTATTCTAGTGAAGCTTATGTTCTCAAAACTCAATTAGAACCAATAAAATGTGTCTTTTACGACAGATTAATGTGTATATTAAAACTACATAGCATATAATCACAGTAAAAATAAATACATGGCATCGCAGACAATGTGACAATCCATTACAAGGATCGCGTATAGCAAGTATAAATAATAATAATCGCTGTAACTATAGAATATATTTGTCCGAGCAATATGAGAGAGTATAAATATCGTATAACTTTGTATAAATACCAATGAGTACAAGCCATTCTAAAAACACTATGGACATATATTGTCCGTAGGCTCGTTTACGATACGAAGTAGTAAGAGCCAACACTATAGATTGTAATGACCAAAGCATTTCTCCATTTATATTACAAATGATTATGTATAAATAATCATTAAAAACCAGTGATGATCTTAATGATTTATTCATTTAATTTATTGATTTCGACTATTAATACGATATAATTGTAAATACGAGCAATAGCCATATTAATATTTCGCGGAGACTTTTCCTTCTTCTCAGCGAGTCTGTTTCTCTTTATGTCCCTTTATAAAATATTCATATGACAATGTAGTACGTAAATGTTTAATGAAACATTATGTCTTATTTAGTGTTGAAATGTCGACACCTTGAAAGGTCATAAAAATGCATGAAAACTGAATTACTGCAAGTATTATATTGAGCTTTGAAGTATTTTTTTATTTTTTTTTTTTTTGATATGAAACAAATTGCGTAAAAACAAATAAATTTTGATACTGCACTCTTTGTTTGACTGAATAATAATAACAAACAGTGGCGGATCCAGGGGGATTGAGGGTTAACCCCTTCTCAAATCAGGAAAAATATGTATTAAAAATCAATAATTTTCATTATCAGGGGAAAATATTTTTAACCCCCCCCCCCCCCCCCCCGAAAAAAAAAGAAAATCCTGGATCCGCCACTGACAACAAACGAGACATACTTAAATTTGTCAATTAGCTGTTGAGATTCTAAAAATACTAAACGTAACAAACAATTAAACAATTGAAGACTGAATAAAATAACCAATACGGTGGATGGAGAAATATTACCACAACTTGTTACGTTTCTAAACCAGCTCGAAAAAAAAACCTTACATCCCATACATGTATATATACATCTTCTCCTTTGCCTTTGTTTATCTCATATACTCGTATATATAATAAATGTATATACGTGTAAAAATGTAAATATGATATTTAATTACACGGCCGGCTCGCGTATTGATGTTTCAGAAGCATAAGCGAGAGAGCTCGCCGGACTCGATAGGCGAACCCGTCAACGAAGAAGAGCTGGTCGAGGTGCAAATGAAGCAACGTCACCCGACAAACGCTGCAGCCGGCGGCGGCGGCAAGTCGAGCAACTCGCTGGACTACAACAGTTGCGAAATGCCGTCCGCGTCTGGCGGCCACAAGTCGTCGTCGGCCGCGGCGTCGACCGCGGCGTCGCCGTCGTCAGCGGCCGCCTCGGCGGCCGCGATCACGGCGGTGGCCGGAAGCAGCACCGGTGCCGGAGACGACGCGGGCCGGACGGGATGCAACAATCCCAACTCGAGCACGTCGTCCGTGGTGGTCAACCTGCCCGCGTCCTATCCCAACTCGGAGTTGGAATACGGGTCGGCCTCGTACCCGCCGTCGCCGTCGTTGTCCTCCAACAACGACAAGCCGCAAGTACGCATCACGTTCCTCTAGCCGCCGCGGAGGCTGCCGTCCGTCTCCGAATGTTACAATATAATTATTATTATTTTAAATTATCGCTATTATTATTGCTACGGTTAATATCGTTATTATTATTATTATTATTATTATTGTTATTAAATACTATTATCGTTGTTCCGTTTCGTTTACGCAGTCGTTTCGCGAGTTCGTCGTCGTTCGTTCGCTATAAAATATTACCGGCACTGCACACGTCTGTCGCGTGTCGACGCGAACGTTATCGTTACGTTATCACACACGCGAAACGATGCACACGAACACGGAGTTATACGACCGATCGCCGTACACCGTACTCCGACCACCCGTATCCGACGGAGCCCTGACCGCCCAAATCCCCGCGTCTCCCCGCCGAAAAGTTTTTCCGCCACGCGACCGACGAATAACGAACCCCCGTCTCTGCCCACCGAGGTGAGCTCAGTGCTCGGCTACGCGGACGGAGCGACGGTACAGTGGTGATGGTGGAAACGTGGGGTGGGAACGTTTTTGTCGTTTTCGATCGAAACGTCCGGGGATACGCGCGCGTACAACAACAACACGGGAACTCCGGCGGCTGGTTGCGTAACGGTCGCCGCCGTTAAGGGACGTCTAGCGTATGCCATCAGTGCAACCGTACGTCAATACGCGCGACACGCGACACGTACAGTGCGACTAGTCTCCACCGGCGGCACCGGTCCGTCTCGCACGATGAATTGATCAGTGGTGGATCCATGGGGGGGGGGGGTTAAAACCCCTAAAATCAGCAACAATTTATATTAAAAATCAATAATTTATATTTTTATTCGTACAAGAAAATAGTAGTTTTAGATTTAAATTAATTCATTATATTACTTATTGTTATCTTAATTCATTATCAATCACTGACTGCAATGTCATAAAAAATATCCCAAGGGAAAACATTTTTCAACCCCCCCAAAAAAAAAGAAAATCCTGGATCCGCCACTGGAATTTATGTACCCAGTGTACGTATAAAGTTTTTTTGTGTACGTCGGTACCAATCCAAAAATCGCGAATTAACTGTTAACACTCGCTGTACAAAAACACCACTACCCGTGTACACAACGTCACACACCCGCCGTGCGGTCGCAACCCGCGTACGACCGGCCGGATGATAATTGATAATAATAATAATGATAACTATAATAATAATAATAATAACATTATTAACATTATGACATCGTCAAACGCATCGTAATGGTTGTACTCGCTCATATACGCACAAAACACAAACACATACACACACATGGTGTGTGTGTGTATTTGATGAGTCTAGTGCAGCGGTGCGCAACCTTTTATCATCTACGACCCTCGAACTAATTTATTTCGATGACGCGACCCTTTCCCACCAACTTTATACAAGTGTATAATGTGTGTACTTACTTAATGTATACAACGTTTGTATTCGTATAAATTAAACCGTTAATTTTAGGCAATTTTAATATTCCTTTAATTCAATTAATCCCGATACATAAAATATGTTATAAAATTAGAGTTTTATAAAATTTTATACATAAATATAATGTCGTATGGAATATTATGCATAGCATATAAATTGTTCGTCTGGTGCTAAGTTATTGGCGACTCCCTTCGAGATCTTCAGGTTGTGTACCGTTAGTCCAGTACGATGTTATAATTTCGAAAGAACACCGGAAAGTAAACCGCGGATGCAGTTAATAATGTTCAGTTCGACGGCGGTGTCTTGGAGGTCGACGAAACGTGCGAAAGACGGCGCGAAACAAAGGTGAACCACCCTGGTTGTGAACTACCCACCGATATACGTCGGATTTAAATTTTCAAACGTCTGACCGTAGATTGATCGACACGCCCACTTACCGTGCATGTATGCCTATACACGTATACGTTTGTACATTATTTTTGTTTTTTTCCCCGTCTAATCTACGAACAATATTGGGTCTATAGAGTTTCTGGGGTTCTGAATCAATTTTGTTTTTCTCCTATACGTTCGGAAAACTCCCGGTCCCGCTCGTTCACGTTAGTCCGTGTTCCTGCGGCACGCAATCAAACGGGGAGACCAGTGTTGAATCCAGACATGTTATCTTGGGGGGGCTCACATTTTTTCAACTTATTTCATTTACGATCGGATCGGTTTTAGTATCAGATAAATCTACAGTACCAAGGAATTGCTCAACTAGTTGAATTTTTCAAAACGAATATATATATATATATGATTCAGATTTATTGTTAACAGTTGTACTTTTATCGGCCGTTACACAATCTTTTTTTTTCAATACCTTCGTTATCTAATTTCTTATTTAATATTCATGATACACAACATAAAATCTCACTAGCTGTAGCTTTACTAATATATGTAGATCCATTGCTATTTGTAGCAATCCAATTTTCAAGTGATTTACTGTTCTTTGTGATTAAGTGCTTAATTAAAGGTTCATACTGGGTTATGGGTGCGCTATTTTTCTTGAACCAAAAAATAAATCGAGCGAAAAAATTGAGAAATGTTTTCTATTGATTACCTTCTTCGGAACTTTGATTTAAAATTTGACAATAACAGGATTTTTCGAGGCTAATAAAAAAAGTATTTTTTATTTTATACCGCAAATATGTGATACATAATTGTTCGGTTTATTTAATTTTTCATCTTTTCCCAAGGCTTTTTTATAATTATTAAATGGTGTATTAATAAAAATTCCTCTTGTGTTAGCCAATAGGAATCATTTACAGCATGTTTTCACATAATTTATAAAAAGCACCATCAAGTTGATCATCAAAATAAATCTATGGAAAATAATTTCCCCGCTTCTTATTATAAAATCTTTTTATTTATTTATTTATTTATTTATTTTTCAAGAGGTAGAAGTAGACAATTAATCTAAATTTGTATCAAAGTGAGAATCTTGGGGCTCTAAAGTTTTAGTTTTTTTATTTTGTGAAAAATAATCTGTTATACTTCTTTTAGACATTTTTATTACGAAACAACATTAAGATTCAAATAACTAACCATAACTGATAATAACTGATTACTTATTATTTGAGTCTCCATGAACGGCAGCTAGGTACTTAGTTTTAGATTGTATTGTAATCTAGCCGTCATCATAAACTGTAATTCGTAGTCATTATTTTTCGTTATCTTATACATTTTATTACTCTGGGAAAGTCAGTAAACAGTACCTATATGGATATACGGCTATACGTTGTTAAAAAATGAGTTAAAAATTAATTATATTTTATTGAACACCGTTAAGCACGGTAACGAGTATTGTACATTTAATAAATATTTATAGCAAAAAATTAATTTAATGATTTTGTTGAAAGTTGTTTTTGTCAGAGGGAAAATGTAATTTCAGGGGGGGTGCAATTCCTCACCAGAAGTATATCTGGATTCAACACTGCTGGCGACGGGGGTTTCGACTTCGGCGTATTCATTAGTTCCGAAACGTTAAAAGACGATGGATGGTTAACCGTATAGTCCGTAGTATCTAATAAACTGGACCGAATTATACCGAGAAGGTAACGCTAATGGAGGACGGCCGTCCCTCCTTTTTTTAAATACGTATTACTTAGTGTATAATTTATGTTTAATCATACGATATACGGTACCGCGTAATGAGTAATGAAATACATTATACGATTTCCTTTTTCCGTGATGACTACATCGTGAAAAATAAATTATATCAAAAACATTCTAACCCAAGTAATGCGGCATGCCTTTAACGCTTTTTCACCCCTCATCGAAACGTGTTTAAAATTTCGATTCTCGCACAATCGTATAATACACGCCCCCTTATGGTTCAATATACTAGCTATACCACTGAACATGTTAACAATAATTATCTTCCAATACGAATCAAATGTAATACAATTCATTAGAGACAATTTCATATTAATATGTTTTACGGCTCTGAAAAATTCCAAAATTATATCGTTAATCCTCAGTGATTCAGCTTCCCCCGCTCACTTTTCGTGAATTGCCAATCAAATCTGTCCTATGGGACTGTATGATGTGTAAACGTATAAAATTTAATTGTTTTATCGTTTTAATGTCACGCAATTTTCATTAAATCGTGACGTTGTAAATATTGATCCCGCGTTGTAGAGTTTCACTACGACGCATTTGAAGTGTACAAAAACGTTATTATATATATATATATTTATTTGAAAATTGTACACAAAATATTTGTGTAATGGATACTTTTATTGGTAAACAATATAATTACGAAGGGATACAATCTAACGTGCGATTGACGTTGAAAATATAAAAATCGATTAAGAACCCTTTTTTTTTTTTTTTTGATACTAGACCCACGCGATATGTTATTGGATCAAATGAAAAATTGGGATGGATTCCAAAACAATGTGGTTTTCTGGCACAGGTCCCTGAATACGCATACTTTAATTTACTTTACTTATCCTATATAACACCTGTTTTCGCCAAGGACTCTGGCACCAGTCACATTACTGTTACTTACTAGGCTGTCCATTGTTTGTAAATATTTTATTATTTTCTATTATTATTATTATTATAATGTTTATAATTGGAATTATTACAAATGTGTGTATATTCGACGTCCGTTTAATACAAATCATTATTTGTCTTAATTCGGAGAGGATGCAAAGGAGCTATTATAGTTTTACAATAATTATATTTATTTTTCGTTGGAAAACGATTAATTTATTTGTTATCGTTATTGTTTTTATTGATTCAATTTTTTAATTGCTCCATAAGTGTAATGCGGCATATCTATTGATTGAAAATAAAAAATATAAAGTTCCCAACAATTTTACTAAAGAATTACGGAGTACTGCTATAGCATCATTCGACCTTTTGTTCTCGACATTACCAAAGCATATATTTACTATCATATATTAATTTTATCAGATCTAGCTGTTCATATATAATTTATTTTCCAAACTTTTGTAACGTACATTCAATATATCTGCATTCAGATTTTTAAATAAAAATTAACTTTACAACAGAATGTCCATAATTGTTACATATATTAATAAGTAATAAATCCATAATAAAATGTTTACTTCATAATCATAAATCGTAATATCTCAATTGAGATTAATATAAAAACATTTTTTGTCTATTGTATATAAAATCAAATGCCTACATAAATTTAGTGATTTAAAAAAAAAAATGTAATTATTTAATATTAGTTATATGAAATGTGTTGAGAATGCGATATATTATAATCTAATGTAACATACTATTTAACATGCTCTACCTTTTTTACATATTAGACATTTTTCCCCGAACAAAGGTCAAAATGATGGTTAGAGTTAATTATTACGAAGTCGTAAATAATAAATCTCAATACTTACAAATTGAAAACACCATGTTTTGATCATATCGAATATTAATATTAGAATATTATATTTATTTTTATTAGTTGCGAATTGTTTCTAAATATTTTGTACACTAATGTTGTACGAAAAATTATTTCAAACGATATCAAAACAATTTACGTGGCCAACATTCGTAAAATGAATTGATTTACCTAAAATCACACAATCATGGCATTAGAATTAATATTGACGCTACGACATAATAATTTAATTGTCCCCCAAACGAAACTATTTTAAACACCTATAATTGAACTAAAACAGGTTTATAGTAATTTATAAGAAGCGTTTAAATGAAAATATTCTAAAATACTTATTTTTTTTTTTTTTTATATCGAACGTAACGTCTGTCTGTCCATATCTATGAGTTTGTTGTACAATGCCTTTGAGCCATATAGATCTTAAAGGGCAATTATTATAATATATTATGTATGAATTTTAATAATTAAAAATAAAT